AACCCAATCCAGACACCAAGCGTTGTGCCTCGTTGGCAATCTGTTCTGCCAACTCACGAGTCGGAGAGATGACAATCGCCCGAATGTCGGGTGGGTTTCTCCCCCGGTATCCGGGACGCGAGCGTTTGATCGACGGATCATTAACAAGGCGCTGGATGACGGGGATCAAGAATGCAAGGGTCTTTCCAGTTCCGGTCTTTGCCTGTGCCAAGCTGTATGGGAAGAAAATCAAGGTCAGCCGCCATTGCAGGAGAATGAAAGAAGGGAGGCAGAGACGAGGAACTACTCACACATCATCGCCGCTCAGTGTTTCACGGATCGTCTTGGCTTGGACATCAGTCATGGTTTGAATCTTCATGGAATTTGTCACGGTTCGGATCAGTCTGTCGTTGACCAGGCCGTCTTGTGCCAGGCTGTGGAAATCGGTACTGGGTAGCCGGGGCTCGATGTCGGCGGCGACGTTAAGTTGCGCCTGAGCTGCTGCTCTGGCATCAAGAAAGGCCGGGGACGGGTGGTAGAGGGCGCGAGCACCGTATGAGACCGCAGGCGCTGAAGCAGAGAGCCATTGGGGTTGCTGAGGAATCGATCTGGCCAGCAGAGATCGTGAAGCTCGCAGCGCATGGACGGCGCCGGCGGAACGGCGGAAAGCGCCCAGCATGATGAGGAGCTTAGGAGGAGTAAAAAGGTAACAGAGAAACAATTAGAAACAAAGAAATATCTATTAAACCAATGAAGATGGGAAAATAAATAAGAGAAAAAGGAGGGAGAATGGGAGGATGAGAGGGAGGAGGTGAACGGAGAAGCAACGGATTTCGGGGATCTTTTGATAAACGGAAAAAATGGACGGCAGAAAACCAGGCACGTCCGGGCGGTGACGCCACGGTGGATCACTTCCATCCTTCTAGATCTACATTCAATCCTCCAATTATTCTACTTCATTTACACAGCTAAGCTCAGCTAGTTCAAAGATGGCCATCTCCCCAATAACAATAGGCACCCAGCTAAAGACCAAGACAGGAAATCTCTATACCATTACCAAGCGACTCCAAGAAAGTATCTGGCTAGCAACGTAAAATATCCACTCACATCCCTCCCATAATTCCATCAATCCCTAATCCTGGAATGGATGTATAAAGCTCCCAATCCCACAAGCAACCAGTCATCGTGAAGAGCGTGCAACACTTTCGTCTCAAAACCGAAAGAGACGTTATTCGTCCCTTCCAGGATCGATGTTCACATATCCGACCACTCCTAGATGAAGTTGAAGACCCTCCGGGCCCACCAGCTCTCATCCTAAAGCATCTCGACGATGATCTACTGCATGCATCAAACAGCAAGACACTGAGGATAGGGAATTTGTGTGTAGGATTATAAGGTTGGATCCGAGGGATAGGCCGAGTATGGGGCAGATTTTGGAGGATGAGTGGTTTGAAGATTGTTGTTGATATTAACTACGGGGGTGATGTAGAAGTCACTAAGGAATGAAGAAAGGTGTAGTTTGTTCAAAAGAAAAGTATTATCATCGCTTGTAGTGTGGTCGTAACGCTCGTTTCTAGCCATATGTCCTGTCCTGTCCTGTCCTGTCCCATTCCAGATCCCATACCTTTCTATGATCCATCCGTGTGAAAGGATAAACATTGCGTACCCGCACGAGAACATAAACCCGAAGTAAGGACCTTGTGAACACCTCTATATGCCGTCCTCGTATCTATTCATAGCTCAGATCAACTAAGATTCGATCTCCCCTTGGAATTCCCGGGTCAACGAGTACACCGACAGATCCGAGAAACTCTGATGCGTGGCCGCTGGAATGCCCGGCCTCGCTGATGCTATCGTTGTCGTTGGCGCCGGGACACAACCTCCCGGCGACATGTGCACCGGCGACATGAGTTCGCGTACATGGCCCGGAAACAGTCCCTTGTCGAGATCACTTTGCCAGAGACGGCGGGAGGCGTCAAAGACTTTGTTGACGAGCTCGCGGCGCAGGGACTCGTATTCTTGAAAGGTGGTGGCGAGAGGGGCGTGGAGGTTGCGGGAGAAGATTTGTGGGAAGATGAGGGCGTCTTCGATGGAGTATGCGGCGGATTCGTCGCGGGGAGGCATCTATATTCTCAAAGTTAGTTCTTGCGCTTAATTCGAAGTGCAGAGGGTGGCTTATGGCTTACCGCATGCGCAGCATCCCCAAGGAGAAGAATCCGTCCCTTGTGCCATTTCCCTCGTTGCCGGACCTGATATACCGGATACAAGGCCCAATCTTCAGTGTGGTCGAGGAGTGCGCGGATGCTAGGGAGGGCGGATTTGGCGAACTGCGTGCGCACCAGATAGCGAATGGACATCTTCATGCTGGCTTGTTCGGGACAATCGCTTTTCGAAGTAGCTTGGTAGCGCTCAATGAGGTGTTCATTCACTCGAAGGATGGCGGCGGAGAAGATCTTCTGGCGATCAGGGTCGCAGTAGCTGGTAAGGAGGGAACTGTGACGGGTGAGGTGGATGGCGGTCTGGTTGAAATGCATGGGGACGGGGAGATCGTGGGCGTCAGAGACGCTCTGGATGAAGGAGATGCCGGTGTATTCGGAGCGGTTGCCGGGATCGACAATGCGAGTGCGCGTGATAGAGTGGACGCCGTCGCAGCCCAGAACAAGATCTCCGGTAGCGAAGGAGCCATCTTCGAAAGATAAGGTGACGGAGGAGTCGGTTGTGGTGCCGCCTACCACTTTCTTGTTGAAGTAGACGGAAACCGAGGGAAGGTGGTTTTGGATGACGGATAACATGGCGCGCGAGAGGGCATTTCGCATGACTCGACGGCCCTTATAGCCACCGTAACCGAAGCCATTCTCGTCGGTGAATTTAAGAGGCCCAAGTCTGCGACCTGAGCGGAGGGAGAAGAGTTCAATGAGATCGACTTCGATGCCGGCTTCACTGCCCATGCGATTGAGTTCGGACAAGACGCCCAGCTTGTCGAGGTAATTTTGCGCCGTTGGGGTCAGACTGATGGCGCCCCCTGAGGCAGATAGTCCTGGTGCGCCTTCGAAGACGGAGATTTTGAGGTCGGGGATGGAGGAAGCCAGTTCCTTGGCGAGAGAGATGGCGCTGGCCAGGCCCGCGATGCCGGCGCCAACGATGAGGATATCACGAGGAACAGGGGTGGGCTGCATCATGATCGCGTGGGGTTTGGAGTCTGCTACTGTTGCCGAATCCTGCTTCATTCCCCTGGCCGGTGTGGGGGAGTACAATCGGATACTTATAGCGCAACCCCTCCGGGGGGATACAAGTCACACAAGTCACACAGGCACGGCGATGGTGGCGGATCTGACAGTCAAACCATGGTTCATCTGGGAGGACCAGAGATGTTGATCAGAGATGTATGTTTGCTCAGAAATTATTCACAGGGGGGCGATGGTAATTGTGGGTGTGCAATCTTGCAGAATTGCAAACTAGACAGACAGACAGACCCTTTTCGGCCAAAACGGCAAACGTAACGGCTTGATGACGCCGCGTTCTCCGCCGGCCGAAACTGTCAATCCCAGCCAATCAAATGCCGACAGAGAGAGTGCCGGCCTGCACGACGACCGAGCCAGGCCCGGCCATCGTTTGTGATTGGTGGGACGGGCCATAAGCTCGCGGTGGCCAGACCCGCCCATTTTAATTACTTTCTACTCTTTTGGGTGTGACACCTCGGCTTTGCAGTCATTAAATCCCATCCAATAGTTTGCAGGCTGATGATACTACATCGAGATGGATGCAGGGAACTTAAAACAAACACTGGAATTGGAAATACATCCAGACACGCATCACAGGCATAGTGACATAATGTAACTCTGTATCACCGACTTCTAAAATTAACCAGTTCCTGTAATTCCAAACCAGTTCCTGAACTTTTCCTTTCTAATAGTGTATCTCCGTGACGTCAAGCACGATCCCCCCTCCCCCAGATTAGTATCATGATTACATCTCCATCTGCAATGAATCTATACTACTATCCAACTTATTCCTTCCCTGGAGCTTTCCTCTCCCTTCCCAACTCCCACACTTCACAGCCTACTACCTACGACGAAACAATAGTAGCATACAATGAACCTCACAGAAGAACCCAGCACCATCACCCTCACCACCCCCAAAGCCTCCATCACCGGCACCGCCATCGCCATCATCCTCGAAGAACTCAGTCTCCCTTATACCCTCCACCTCCTTCCCGACAGCCACAGCGACAGCCACACCCACCATGACTCCCCATTCTCGTCCTCATCCCCAACATCAACACCACCAACAACAACCCTAACAGACACCAACCGCCCCAACCACGACCCTCCCCTACAAACCCTCTCCTCCATAACCACCTACCTCCTAGGCAACTACGACAAGGACAATCACCACATCACATACCCACCAAATACTCTCGAACAAGCAGCAGTGGAAGAGCATTGCTCAAAGCTAGAATTCTGGATGGGAAGCACCGACCCTGAACCTGAGCATCATCAACAACACCAACAACAACAACAACAACGACAACCACCCCCAGTGACAACCGAGACTGGATCGAATAAACACACCACACCTATTATTATAACAGCGCATACATTGACGGATCGCCCCTTCAGGGAAAGGTTAATCGATCTATATCGCCTTCTGGAGCTGACTTTGAATCGGCAGAGGTGGGGTGAGGGAAGTGGGTGGTTGGCTGGGGAGAAATGGTATTTTCTCTTATCCCTTCTTTTCTTTTTCTTTGTGTGGAGAGGAAGGTGTAGACTGATGGCTGATTGTGATATGACAGTACGGTGGCTGATCTAGTGCATTTTCCGTATGTCGCGGCGGCGAGTCAATATGAGTTTAATCTGAGGTTGCTTCCTTGGTTGAGGCTGTGGTTTGAGCGGATGAAGAGGAGGGATGGGGTGAGGAGGGGGTGGGAGAGGGTTCATCCTGGTGAGGGGGAGTAATATTATCTTATCATAATGGTAATAGGTTAGTTGAGGTAATAGTAGGGAGATATTCATTTCAACGATCATTATGTGATATTTATAGTAACCCTGTATATACGTATGTAAACATCACGGCCATTTCTTCTTCTTCTCAACACTTAGATTCATAATTAGTTAGTATAATTAGAAATAAAACATGAACATCCGTATTATCTTTACCTTCCAGAAGCCAGCCATATACTTTTTTATGGCCTCCAAATCCGTGGGTATCAAGGTTCTCTGTAAACTATTCTCCCATCACCATCACCATCACCATTATCATCCAACAGTCGGTAGAATATCCATACACATCATTTTTCTTTTCTCTTTTCCTTGCGTCTGGGTATCTAGTAGTAAACCTTCTCCTTGAAGATCGGAGGAACACCCTTGTCCAAGTCCCAGCAGATGTGGTTCTTCTCGTCCAGCCAGGCATCCTCGTCGGTGATCTTGATGACCCGGGAGGTGTGCTTGACCTCCTGGCGACTGACACCGAGCTCATCGCGAGGAATCCAGAGCAGAGGAGCCTGTGCCTTGATGGACGGGTTGAAGTAGGCATCCCGCTCCACCTCGGGGTCATACTTGGTGATCTCCTGTCCGCTAGGAACCAGACGGCGCATGTGCGCATAGCTGTCGTACCTGTCGGGACGAAGGTACCGGAGCAGGAAGTTGGGCTTAGCCTGGGGCTCGTCGGAGGTCAGACCCCGTTCGGCGGAGTCGATGTTGGCCACGCCGCTGTCGCGTGCCTTGGAGCCGCCGCCGGCGGCGTCATCCGACGCCTCACCGGACTGGCTCACCTTGGTCTGCTCGCGAGACAGCAGGGCTTCTTCCTCTGACTCGAGGTTCTTGGGCAGGTAGTGGATCAGGGGCTCCAGGGCATTGTTGAGGGCCACGTGGTACAGAACACAGAAGATCAGCAGAATGATCATGAGGACCAGGGGTCCAGTGGCAATGCTGTCGGCAGCGGTAGCGATGGCGAAAAGACCAATCAGACAGACCATCAGGAGGTAGCAGCCCACAGTCAGGTGCTTCAGACCCTGGACGTAGGCCTTACCCTGGGTGTCAATGTTGGCGTTCGACACATACAGCATGTTGTAGCGGTAGGCGAAGTAGAAGAGGTAAAGGCCGATGGTGGCGAACCCGAGCACGAGGGGTGCAATGCACGAGTAGACGATAGCTGTATGTATTGTCAGCTGGCCGTTCCCAACATCCTTAACAAACAGTTACTTACCGATGACAGCGAGGAGGGTGAAAATAGGATACACAGTTCCCCAGCCCAGACCAGCGAGGTTGGACCAACGGCTGTACATCTTTCGCGGCGTGTTGTCCAGGAGCCGACCCAGGACCTTGCCGAGGATCAGTCCACTGATCTGCAGCAGAGCACCGGCACTGAAAGACAACCCTTGCAGGATGATGTAAGAGATATAAAAGTTCGAAGCGGTGGGAATCTTTTCAGCCAACAGAGACGCAGCGGAAGTGGGCTCGTTGATGATATCGGATACGACACTAGAGGCGGAAGATGATATAGTGACAACCAGGAAAACCTGGATGACTTCGAATGCGAAATAGAAGTTTTGCGTAGTCAATTCCACGGCAGCCAAGCTAGGAGCGCCACCGAGTTTTGCCGTCACTATCGACAGATGAGAATGCGCTCAGACTTCACGTACATGGAGGCCTAGGGTTGCAACTTACATCGGAGGATAATTGGCAGCAAGGCCATGAGTACGGACATCAAGACCGTAGGCAGAAGAGACGTGATAACACCCAGAATCCAGCTTGGAACGTCATTGATAAAGCGAAGGAAAGGAACCTTCTCAGTCAGGAAGTTGATGTTCGAGATGCAGCCAACAACGGCAGTGGGAATGGCCCAGAAGACAATCAAAGCGACAACAAATGCGATGGTCACAGAGTAACGAACGAGTCGCTCCCACCACTTGATGCGCAAGTTGGACCAGATGACCTGGGTGGGCTCCAGGCCGATGTAACGAGGCGCCATGTGCAGGGGGTAGTTGTGGGCCACTGTGCGCGAGTTAGCATAGCTGGACACAAAAGACGGACGACATGGAACACTAACCAGACTGGAAAGCCTGCTGAGCATCGGCCTGGGCGTTGAATTCAACGAAGACAGACGACACCAGGTCCGCATTACCTTCCCTGTGTTTGGCCTGAAGTTCCTCGATCTCGGGTTGAAGACGCTCGATCTCAGATCTCGCCCAGTTGATGGTATCAACCTTCTTACCGACCAGGAATGTAAGCCGATGGGTAGGGCGGTCTTGGGGTCGAACCCAGCGAGCTGCAACCGAGCCGGACTCATCGTCATCGTCGCAAAGGCTATCGCCTGCGTTCTGACCTTCCTCCACGGACCCTTGCTTCTTGAGGGCCTTCAGGCGGGCAGCGTTGGCCAATTTGATGAGCTTCGTCTCCGCCGCCTCGAGCTTCATCGCAGCGTCCTCGCGCTCGGCAACCTTATCGTCCAATTCGCTGGTGTTGGTCGTAAGCCAGACATTCTTCACCTTCTCGGGACCAAACATCTGTCGAATCTTTTCGCGGCTCAAGTAATCTTCGGTGACCGCAGTAAAGAGCACGGTGCGAGACGAGAGACGGCTGGCATATGCCGGAGCGAGGGCGTAAGCGTGGCGCAGATTGATGTAGAACAGGCATTCGCGGGTGATCGTGTAAAAGACGAAGCCTAGCAATACCATTAGTGACGGACACCCCCGAGCCATACTTTACGGGAAGTACACACCGACAAAGAGCCATGCAATGAATGCGTGAGCGAAGTAGCGAGCATACTTATCGGCGCTGACGTTCGACATGCTCAGCATATCTAATTGCTGACCGCCGCCGCCGCCCGTTGCATTGACCGGGAACAGGATAGGCCAGGTCATGCAAGCTCCCACGAAGCAAATCATCGACACAACCTTCAGGAAGCGCAGGAGGAGATAGGCATCCATGGAGTGATGCTGCAAGACATATTCATCGGGCAGCCGGTACATTTGCAAAATCCAGTTCCAGAGGCCAGTAGGAGAAGCGGGAGTACGCTCCGAGGGGCGCAGAACACCCAGGTAGGTTCGGGGCATGTACATGCGAGTTTCTCTGCGTCGCAGAATAATGAAGATGGTTACCATGGCCGCGGCAGAGATCAAAGAGGGGACCAAGGTCGTGACCAGGCCCGAGGCCGAGTTCGAAGCGCTTTGCGGATCATCACTGCTCTGTGGGAGGGTTAGAGATGCGCTCTTCAGCATCAATCGAGGAATGCGACCGAGCGCGATCCCACAACACCATTAGGACTCACCCGTTGGAATAGCTGATGAAGGCCTTCCAGGCCGACATCATGGATAGCCATGATGGCGCGAATCAATGCCCGTGGCAGTACGAGTCTGCCGTGGTCAAGTAGAGTATAGGTGCGGTTACGTCAAGAGGCAGAATGTCGCACGATCGAGAGCGGTCGACCGCAGAGAGGGGGAGGGGATCACAGGCAAGGGCACGGCCAGGATCGAAAGAGTGTGAGATCCAAACGGGGCAGCTGGACAGAAACGAAAAGGAGGGAGGGAGGTTTGTTTAAACGAAAAATGAGAAAAGCAAAGGATAGACTCAAGGGGCGCAAAGCTTAAAGGGAGAGGGGGAGCCACCCAAAGAAAGGAAACCTTTTTCTGTTTGGGTCGCCTGGGACTTGAAGTGGGTTTGCTGATCTGCCCACTGTAGCGAAAAAAAAAAAAAAAAAAAAAAAAGAAATTGTAAAGATAGAAAAGAGCCCGGCCAAAGCAGATTGGGTGCACAGCTCAGCGCATGCCAATTGGACCCCTAGGAATGGCAATGGGTTCGGCTGAACCGAAAGAATGGTTCCCGTGAAGGAAAGAAATCTCAGGCTAGCATCACGAGAAGAGTTAAAAGGGGAGCTCATCCGGGCTTTGGTCAAGTCTGGGTGGGATGGTGAGGGATTGAAGCTAGTGCCACCCACGAGGGAACAAGCCACTCCACTTGGAGCCGGGCAGGACGAGTGAGAGGCGATGCCACTGGCAGGTCAACTCTGGATCTCAGATGGGATCGTTGGGTCGCCCGGGTCACACTCCTGTGAGTGGAGGAGTCGATGACGATTGAAGGGGAGGCCAGCGTAAGGGGAATTCCGATCAGGAGCTGCGCGCAATGCTAGATTTGCATTTGACTTTTGGGCTGATCAACAGCAAAGCGACGATCGCACTCCGTTTCAGCCACTGCTCGTCATCATGATATGAGCAGCATCATGCCAGCCAGACTGATGTTGTCCGATCCAAGGTGATTTCTCATTTGCCTTTTTGCCATCGGACCGGGACAAAATTCAATTCCCAGCCACCCATTATGATGATGTTGTTCACCGAGAGAAGCTTGCTTCCCCTCTTTTTCTGTCTGATGTGGCCCGGTGACAACCAGGAATTGATGGAAAGCTGAACAATTCTCCGAGGGGATTCCGTTTGGTTACTGTGGCTGGAGAGACCCGACGAAGGAAGATGATAAGGCGCGAGAGTGGATGAGTTGGTCCCAATAGATCGGCCTAGCAGATTGACTAGTGTCTCTTAGTCTGACTCGCGACTCGCTTACCGTATCGTATTGTTCCGACGCGCTTTTTTCAGTGGATGCCCCCATACATTCACACAGGAATGTCTGGTAAATCCTGGTAATCCTCTGTATGCGGATTGCTACCCAGGTGGTCAATTCTGTGTAGATAGAATAATGGCCTTTCGTCCGGTAGCGAAGGTGGCAAATTCGAATCTGCCCGAACCTTTCAGTTCCTAACTCAGGTCAGGGAGGAGGAAAATCGAGGAACGCAATCTCTTCTCCCCCAGACGGCCGGCTAGAGTGGGTTTGTTCCAGTGGTTGATTGAGACGGTCTTCTCCGTGGGTTGTCGAAAGGGGCAGCACTCTGCGACCGACGCAAACGGCAGCAATTTTCGAAATCATTAGTTATTAAAACTATCAGACTATGGTGTCACAAGTCTGAAATTAGAGATGTACCTGTGATCTCATTTCCTTTCAAATTGAGAAGCCAATAAATGTATGAAATCATAATAATAGTGAAAAGCAATCTGCAAAAACCTCAACCCGTGACAGTTGGAAAATAAAAAAAAGCCAAGATCGGGATCTGTCCGATGGTTGGCTTACGACTCTCTTTCTCCTCTCCCAGTCTCCAGTCTCCAGCCACAGCATCCACGCCGCCATGCGTTTCAACTTGCGAAGATTCTGACACGGGCCGCCCGTTTCATTTTGTGCCATCGTGTCTATGGTTGGTCTGATCTATCATTCTTTAGCTAACAGTACTATATATACTGGCATGTAGTAAGTACCAGGATTAGAGGAGAAGGGGGTAACTGGAATGCTAGAAATGAAGGGCATGGAGGGCATGGATGCAGTTGTGCTACACAGTCAACAGTAAAAAGTCCTCAGTGTAAGCATCTAGTTTAGTCGCCACCGCGCAAACTCCCTTCCTTCACACACACAATAATAGCAAACAACAAACCAAGATCTTCCCCATCAACAGGTGCATCATCTATGATCCGTACATACTCCGTACGCATCACAAGACTGGCTCATTTCCACCTCATATCGTCCCTTGGATCTCGGATCATAGGTTCATCCCATCGATGCCTATGGGGGGGGGGGGGGGGGGGCCCGCAGGCAATCAAACCAATCTTTCAGCCTCGTGCTGGGGCCACCATCTGCCGTACCAGATCAGAGAGAACTTTTGCCCTTGGAACCACTAGCCAGGCAACCCTCTTTTTCTTTTTCCGCTAAAAATTTGTCAACGCTAACCTGGCTGTGTTTAGTGTTCTGTTTGAATTCGGCGGTGTGTTTGAATGCAAGCACTGCTTGATCGCCAGTGCGGAAGAATGTTTATGTGTCCGTCTGTCTGTCTGTTTTGTTGTCACTTGCGCGATGCGATACCTTTTTATCCCTCTCTGCTTATCATCATCGGTACGCGTGTCGACGTAGAACTGTCTATGTGCGGTTTCTGCAGATGATGATTCTATCTATAATTGGCATCACCACATCATACACAGGAGGAAGCTTGAAGAAAGGAAGCTTCATGCACCCGTAGTAGCAAGTAGCAGCAGACTTTGCCACGAAGTTATGCAGTAACACCAGCGGCAAATCTCAATCCCGTTGCCTAGACAGACAGACAGACAGACAGACAGACAAGCAAGCATGCTACTTGTCTACAATCAACTTCCGCCAAAAATAATATGGAGCAAGTCCGTCCGTTAATCCTAACGCTCCGAGGACAGGACGCGAATAAATAACCATGTGGCTGGACACGGGCTGGCCATTGACACCTATCATACTGCAAGCAACTGGAGAATCTGAGAAAGATTTATCGTATTCCTGAGGCAACATCCTAGAGTTTAGTTACTGTCACGGCTTTTGCTTTTGAGGAATACGGGACGAGGGCTATGCCAGGTCTAGCCTTGATTTTTGGACTGGTATCTGAGACAGGACTTTATGGAAGTGTCATTTCCGGGGCAATTGACTGTAGTACAAGCATTTGAAAGGAAATTTGATAGATGCCAAACTCAAGGCGTGTATCGCGTGTATCGCGGAGTGATTATTTCCCTGTCATACCAGAGGAGAATTGTCCTACATAGAAGTAGTACTTCTGATAGCTAAGATGATGTACGGAGTATGATCCTAGTAAATTGTCTCAAACACAGAATGCAAGGTTTGCATGAAGATGTGGCATTGAAGAGTGTACATTGCACAACTTCAGACCTAGCAGCGATCCCACCCTCAAACAATACCAATACCCCTACAGTAGTATCCGGATCATCTTCTTGTGGCACAAAGTTTTCCAGATGATACTACCGATGCTAATTCTGCACAAGCAGCTTCACATAAACAAATCCCAACCCACGAGCACATAACATACTATATACAACAGTCCCGAAACAAACTATCTCCAATCAACTAACTACCATTACCTTAAATTAGAAATAACGAGCTAAATTAACACCGCTCTCCCATCAAATAAATTAATTAATTACCCACTCACCCGCCCACACCTATCTACTCTACTTTCAATACTTCCACCTTGACCTACCAACGAAAGTAATCAATAAGCTTAACTAACCACTCAGATCATACTACCAGCCCAGTCCAGTCCAGCCCAACCCAGCCGGTCGTACTTCTGCTAGCCCCGTCTAGTACCACAGATCATTCCTCTCTCCCGTGAGACACACAGACGGACGGGGGCGGGCGGACGGCATGCCATGCCCTGACCCAAAACAGCGGCCTGCAGTAGCGTGTGTAATCTGGTGTGTGTGTGTGTGTGTGGGAGCAGGGATCATTGATCAAAAGTACTAGAGTAGAAAAGCAGTTGACTACTATTTATGCAATTTTGTTTGGTATTGAAGAACTACCTGTTCTGTGCTTGGAGTAGTAGTAGTGGCGTGAGCTCCAGACCCCTCTTTTCTCTCATTCTCTCTCTCTCTCTCTCTTTGAAAGTCAATCCCAGCCATGTTATTTCTTTACCAAGCGGCACTGACACTAATTAATTATCCAACTAATTAACTAAACTATGTCCCGCCACCATCATCAGCCCAAAGCTCAGCTGACGGATAATATAATGAATCTATTCTCAACCCAAGATTCGATTTATCTAGCGATATTCAAAGTGTGCAGAAATCTCCAATTAATTGAATAATGAAAAGAATAAGTACCACAACCCAGGGACACCGTGGTGGATTGTGTCCCTAAGTACTTACTAGTAACTGTACAGTACTAGTAGTCTAGGTAGCAGGTACACACAACACAACATAAACACATCGAATCGAAGCATAGCAAAGCGGGCACCTTCGTACCCAGCGGATTCTATATCCGGCAGGAAGGAAAAAGAAAAGTATGTGACATGTCCGTCCCACCCCCACCGGACTAAAATAAGTAAAGAGAAAAATCTATCTATCTACTCATCTCATCCATTAATGGAAATGCACTTCGTTATTTAAGAGTCCGTGCGCGCGCGAATGATCCTCATACGTACAGTACTACTACTGTACACAGATTGGAAAATAATATCTCATATTTCTCTCTCTCTCTCTCTCCGTAAGTTCTTGGGTTTTTTCCCCACTGATATTCTGTTAGTTGGTGGTGGTTGGTGAGGATCGATCGAATGAGGGATTGTCGTCGGGCTGTTGATCGAATTACGCGGCGTCACGGTGAAGAGTAGATAGATAGATATATCTATCTATTAGGATTTCGTTTCGTTACGGGAGGGTGGATGATGATCCGATGGGGGGGAGGGGGGAGGAATAAGTGGGTAAGTTTGTTGTTAGTTTTACTTTGTAGAATGGGTTAGTTGGGTTAGAGGTTTCCGATGCAGATCGGCTTACGTGGCAAAAGTCATCCTAACTAAGTCAAAGTAGTTAGATACACGGAAGGGTAAGGTAAGTAAGCAGATGGTAGTATCTGTGAACAAGTGAGTGACCAATTGCCCGCAAGGGATATTGGTCGCGGATTGGGAACCGTGGAACAGGTCGTTCTAGAAAACCCGATCTGAGGTGACACCAACCAGTCAGTAACCTATTGGGAACCCCCGAAAATGCGGGGTTACCACCACTACTTGCTTACTTTTACTTCAGACAGCTAGCTACAGGCAATTAAAAGAGGTCACCAAAGTACGGAGTAAATAATCATGTACGACTGCTGCGACGCTCCTGCACGTCGCGGAAAACAATCAAGCGTTTGGGATTCGTACCTAATCAGTACTTTTTTCTGTTCTGCCCGAAATATACAAACATACAGAACACAATACAACACGGCACAACACACGCTCCTTTTCAAAATAGAGAAGAAAACACTGGCTAAGTAGATGAATGTCGACAGGGGAAGGGGTATCTCGAAAAAGTAATTGGGATCGTGTCTCTCGCTCAAATGGGCCCAAGCAATTCTTCCTCAAACGCATCAATTCCTCGAATTGGCGGATGGAGCATGAGCAGACTGAAGAGGATTTCGTTGTATTGGAATTGAAGGTCCGGTCGGAGCTGCTTGTGCATCTTCAGTAGCTCGCCTGTGGACCATCCGCGTTCCGACTCCTTCAGGTCCGCTCCATAGCCTTCTTCCAGGAGCAGCCAGATGAAGGTCTCGCAGGCTGGGTACCGGTCCAGGTTGTGCAGTCGCACGAGGTGGTGGAGATGGTTGAGAAACCGCCCGGTTTTGTTCTCCGAGGCTGCCAGATCCCACAGCGCCGCGGTAATGTAGATCAAGGCTGCGGTTCTAGTTATCTCCTGGGTGGGCGCATTGCGCACAACATACATGCGGTAATCCTGAGGCACCTGCGAAGGACGGGGCCCACTGGAAAGTAGAGGAAATAAGGGACTATCCATCTGGAAAGCAGTCCGTCGCTGGGGTACAGACTCTAAGTATGAAGGTGTGCTATGCTGGTGCATCAGCTGCTCTGCTGCATGAAGAAAAGAGACGAGCCAGCGCTTCCCCTCTTCGCTCATCTCCATCGGTGGCGGGATCATCACGTATCGCACGTAATGCATGAAGACCTCGACCGTGCTCTGCGTGCCGGATCGAGACCGGAGGATTTCGACAGCCTGGTCTTCGTATTTCCGAGCGACTTGCTTGTCACCAAACCGATCCTCGTGTAGTGACATGCCACTTAGTGCCAATGCTAGGTTATCTTCGTCGACTCCCGCAGATCCAATCCTTGCTTCTTCGACTCCTTTTACGGCCTTGTCGAGATGATACTGAGCTTCCTCGCTGTCTTTCAGGTTGTAGAGCTGGGCTTTCCAGCGGGCGCAGTAGGTGAGAATGACTGCTTGGAAGCACAATGGGTGGCTCATGGCGGCCTTGAACACAAGGTCTTTGATGTATTTATTTTGGCCCGACCAGTAGGTTAGCCGATTAGTCCAGTAGTCGGCCAGCTCTTGGTCATCACGGGAGTAGACGCCTGGAAGAGAATTGAATGGATCTTTCCTCGAGGCATCAAGCATAGTGACAGGTGAAGGTGACTGGTATCCATCTACCGATTCGGGTGGTGATTGCACAGGAGGCAGACCAAACGGAATCTATACCATTAATTTAGATTAGTATGACGAGCGGTGGAGACATTTGTGTAATTAATGGTGAATGTATTGTATTGATGGTAAATGATGAACTTACCAAGGAATGTCCGTTTACTGAAGTTTCGCTGGGTACCTCCTGAGGGGCAATGGATTCGTAATCATCATGATTGTCTACATCTGTCCTCTTATGAGGCCATGGGGAGTAGCGAAGAGGGCGACTACCCCTCCGGTCGCCGTCCGCCCGGGAGTGGGATGACTTCCTCTGCCGGCGTTTCTCCTGAACATGGTGACGCATCACATGAGCCCGTTTTTCGCGGGACGAGGAATTGGAGTCAACAAAGTAGAAGATTTGGTTCCTGGAGGATTGATCATCGGACATAGGCAAATGCCTTCGTCGTCTAATCCTCACAGGAATTTGAGGGGGGTCGCTGGACGTTCCTGAGGAAAGGGTGTTGGTAAGTTCGTCGACTGGACGGTCAGATCACAGAGAAGGCGGCAAAGAAACCAACGTTGTTGTTCTGATTCAGACGAAGAAGTACCCCGTACGCCTGAGGTAGAGGACTCGAGAGGTGTTGATTCCGCCAAAGGAAGTCTATCCGCCGACATGGCGGGTTTTCTTTTCCTTTGATTTTTATTTTTGTCGTTCCCCTCTCTCCGTTTTGGTATTGTTTCTTACAATCGCACAGGGGGGGAGGGGAGGGGAGAGAGATTGACAGCTGGGCGGGATGACAGGGTGAAACGAGAGCGGAACTCGTTAAGACTGCATATTCGGGGGAAGTGAGATCACGAACACACACACAAGCCGCCAGCGAATGGGGACGGAAAGCTTTCTAAGAAGGACAAGGAGAAGGCATTGCAGAATGGGCTAGTAGAATGGGGACTAACCAACTCGGACCACCTGTCAAGTCAGAGTAGTAGTAGTGAGGGAGCAGTTGATGAAGAGAGCAGCAGTTTGGTTTGCTTATCTATCCGTGGCATAAGGACTAACGACAAACCCCCCGACCTGTCCGTTCCATCTTATTAGGGATGGACGGGTTAGTCAGTGCTAGTGGTGGGGTCAAGGACAACTAAGAGGCCCCGCTAGTCCGACTCCGAAAGTTTATTTGACCTGACGGATCGCCATGATTGGTTGCTTGTCAGCTCAGGCTCCGGGAAAAGTGTCTCCGCCGGCGCTTATTGGGTGCGGAACGAAGCCCTCTGCCCTTGGAAGGGATCCGCTTCTGGAGGCCAGGTTGGGCCGGTGTGGGCTCGAGGACCTTTGCCCGCAACCAGTCTAGTCCCGGTGGGGTTGGCATGGCGTTCCGTGCGCAACTCCCACGCTGCTGATCTAAGCAGACTAATTCTGCCCCTTTGGGAAGGTCTGTCACAGTCCTGAACAAAAGCACTTTACGCGTCGGTATTCCGCAATAACTGTTCTACCGACGCGTTCGTGTTGCATTCGCGTCCCATTGCAAAAGCTCGAACAAAAAAAGAAGCGAAACCGCAGCAACCAAAACATCAACGCTGCCTGCCTGCTCTTGGTCAATTATTCTCTCAACCCCACTACGTCTCAAATCACTTTTCCTCTTTCTTCCTTATTTCCTTTTCTTCTTCAAGGCAGGCCCTAGGGACCCGTTCACGTTTAATTAATTAGTCTACACATATATTGAAGTCGCACCCCTCACCCTTTTTAGCGGCCTCCCTTTGGCCCTCCGCCTGACGACCATGTCTTCCCTTTTTGACGCCGTCCTGCAATCCGAGTTGGGCTCCACGGCGGGCTCTCGCGACCATCGTCTTCACTCCGATCAGATTCCCAGCTCACGACCCCAACCGCCTTCCGAAAGCAATGGCCCCATGAGTGACATGCATGGCTTTGCCGACGACCAAGTCGCCGATTCCAGTGCCTCGACCGTTACCCGACTACGCAATCCTTATCTTCCCGGACCGCCCCCGGTAAGCGATGTGGCAGGCGAGAAGGTACAGCAGGCTTTCGCAGAGCTCCTCGAGACCTACCAGGAAGAGACACCTTCGTCGGCACAGGCGGCGCCATCGTCACAAGTCTTGAGTGAGAAATACTACATCGCCCAGATCATGGGCATGGCGAAATGGGAGCTGTCTACCCTTTACGTCGATTTCACCCACTTGACCTCTATGAACAACCCCATTCTTGCCGATGCCATTGCCAACCAATACTACCGATTCCAACCTTTCTTGACCAAGGCTCTTCATGACCTTATCGCCAAGTATGAACCAGAGTACTTCGCCTCTCACCGTCAAGCTACGGCCGCAGGCAGTGTTTCTTCCCAAGCCGGCACTTCGATGATCGCTGGCAACTCTAGTGTATCCGACAACCCTGAATTGGAGCGCAATATCCGCGAGAAGACCAGGCATCAGCAGACGGATAAGCTGTTCTCTTTGGCCTTCTACAACCTGCCCCTTGTTTCCAGACTGCGCCAGCTGCGCACATCTCAGATTGGAAAATTGGTCTCGGTGTCGGGTACAGTCACGCGGACGTCTGAAATTCGCCCAGAACTGTCACTGGGAACCTTCATTTGCGAGGAGTGCAAGGCCGTCGTGACCAACGTGGAACAGACCTTCCGTTACACTGAGCCCTCCCAATGTCCGAACAACACCTGCGGTAACCGCTCCGGCTGGCGCTTGGACATTGGCAAGAGTACCTTCGTGGATTGGCAAAAGGTGAAACTGCAGGAATCTTCTCACGAAATCCCAACTGGCAGTATGCCACGGACGATGGATGTCATTCTTCGCGGTGAGATGGTTGATCGCGCTAAGGCTGGTGAGCGGTGTATCTTCACTGGTACCTTGATCGTGGTACCCGATGTCAGTCAATTAGGACTTCCTGGCGTGCGGCCGGAGGCAGTTCGTGATGATGGTGCATTCCGGGGAAGTGATATTGGGGGCGGTGGTGTTACTGGGTTGAAAGCGCTCGGTATCAAAGATTTGACCTATCGACTCGCCTTCCTTTCTTGCATGGTTACTCCCGACACCACGACGCCGGGTCAGCAGTCCAACCAGCAGCTGAATGGACAGTCGCACAACATCTTGGCTTCGCTCAACCAAAACCGAGATCCTGAATCCAACGAAGACCAGGCCCAAGAAGCTCTGCTTCAGAGCCTGACACCCTACGAGGTTCAAGACTTGAAGAATCTCGTTCACTCCGAGTACATCTACTCGCGGTTGATTGACTCGATCGCTCCCATGATTTACGGTCATCGGCAGATCAAGAAGGGTCTGCTGCTGCAGCTGATTGGCGGTGTCGGCAAGTCCACGGAGCAAGAGAACCTCCAGCTTCGTGGTGACATCAACATTTGCATTGTCGGTGACCCATCCACGAGTAAGAGTCAATTCTTGAAGTGAGTTTTATACCGGCTATTTGCATACTGTTTTGCATACCATGCTTACACGAAACAGATATATTTGCTCATTGCACCCTCGTGCAGTCTACACTAGTGGTAAAGCCTCGTCTGCCGCCGGTTTGACCGCATCTGTTGTCAAGGACGCTGAGACAGGCGAGTTCACGATTGAAGCTGGTGCCTTGATGTTGGCTGTAGGTAACCTGATCTATCTGGTCGGCATTCGAAACTGACGTATCGTGATCTAGAATGGAGGTGGTATTTGCTGTATCGACGAGTTCGATAAGATGGACATCAGCGACCAGGTCGCCATTCACGAAGCCATGGAACAACAAACGATCTCTATTGCAAAGGCAGGAATCCACACCACCCTTAATGCTCGGGCTTCGATTCTTGCTGCTGCCAACCCCATCGGTGGCCGATACAATCCCAAGACCACACTACGCGGCAACCTTAACTTCAGTGCCCCCATTATGAGTCGATTCGATCTGTTTTTCGTGATCCGGGATGATCCCAACGAAACAGTTGATCGCAATTTGGCTGATCACATTGTCAATGTCCACATGAACCGCGACGAAGCTGTTCATCCCGAGCTCAGCACCGAGCAATTACTGCGCTACATTCGATTCGCCCGTACCTTTAAGCCTGTTTTCACGGAGGAGGCCAAGGCTTATCTGGTTGAAAAGTATAAGGAGCTTCGTGCTGGCGATGCTCAAGGTGGCATGGGCCGCTCTTCATACCGCATCACGGTTCGACAGCTGGAATCTCTGATCCGTCTTTCTGAAGCCGTCGCCAAGGCCAACTGTGTGGAAGAGATTATACCCAAGTTTGTGCGCGAGGCGTACGACCTTCTCCGACAGAGCATTGTGACGGTTGAGAAAGATGATGTCGAAGTCGACGATGATGAAACCGCAGCAGCGGATGGTCGCGCTGCTGAGGAGGATCATGACATGGGCGATCGTGACCGTGATGGAGACAGCCCTATGCGCGAAGATGCCGAAACTGCCCAGCCCAAACGCTCAAGGACGAAGATCACATATGACAAGTACATGAAGATCTTGAACCTCATGGTCCGTCGTGTAAGGGACGATGAAGCGAACTCTGGTGAGGGTGTCGAGCAAGAGGATCTTCTCATCTGGTATCTGGAGCAGATTGAGTCCGAGATTGACACAGAGGACGATCTCCAGAATGAGCGTGACTTGGCTGTGAAGGTCCTGAAGCGAATGATCAAGGTATGTGCAATCATATCGCTGTCACTTTTACTTGATCCCATAACTAAGCTCAATTACTTCCTGCAGGATAACATTCTGATGCCCATTCGCGGGCAAGGCCTTGTGGATGCCGATGATGAAGGGCAAAGTGAGCAAGTTCAACGCACTGTCTACGTGATGCATCCCAACTGCGCCATTGATGAGATGTAATGTCTGTTTAGTGTTTGGTTTTAGAAAAGGCAACGCTGAGCAATGATTGAAATGGGTCTGATAAAGGAGCTGGTGGTTATGAGTGATGATATCCCTGTTTGACTTTGATTTGATATTGAACTTACGCATGATTTATCGGTGAAGTATATGTCTATAGAAGTGAGGTCTGGAGTGCATTGGTTTTAGGCATATCTTCTAATCTCATATACGTATGACGCTTCATGATCTGTCAGACTTTTCCGTCTTTTTTGACTGTATGCGAGCTTGCATGAAGCATCCCGAAACAACTCTTCACCCGGTTTGACTTAGTATTGCTGTTGTATGAGCAGTCTCACAACCTTCTACCTTACTGCTTTGACCCTCGTCACCTTCCTTCCATTCTCGGCCACGTGAACCCGAGCTGGTGTTCCTCGCTTTGCTCTCTTCGCTCTCTCTTCCTGATTACTCTTGTTTATCTACGCGATCGTATGGCAAAGACTGCGATCTTTCTATCGATCTCTCATCTCTGAGGTGTCCCCGAGCTCATACTTCCTTCCTCTCATCTCTCTCGGTTGTGTCATCTTCCTCATCTTCTGTTCACCTTCCTCTCGTCTCTGATCTTCTTTCCTTTCGCCTCATTTGCCTCTCTCTTGCTTCTTCCGCCTTTGTATAAGCCCTCTTCTTCCCTGCCCTGATCTTCTTCCCTCTTCCGCATTCCTTCTTCTCTCTCTATATAAACCCTCTTCTCTCCCCCTGCCCTCCCTCTTCCCTTCTCACTCCTCTCCTCTTCTCTCTCCTCTAGCCAGAGATCTCGTAGATCCTTGTTCGACCCCCTCTCTCTTTACTATCATCCTTTTTCTATAACCTCCACAACCAGCTTTCTCAAAACGGAAATCCTCCGTACGCCATCGGCGAATCAAGCAAAGATGGAAGGCTCTAGCGAGGAACTGGAACCACCTAAGATCACGCAGGAAGCAGCAGCAGGCTCTGAAGATGTTCAAGAGCCCGATAAGCAAGGATCTTCTCTCCAATCCGAAAGCTTCGATCCGCAACAGATTCTGTTGGACGCAATTGATCGCCGTAGGCAACAGTGCAATCCCAGGCAGGCTTTTTTCCTTTCTAATTTGGGATTTGATATCCACAATCGTAAGACCTCCCAAAGTTTGCAGTCACCTTCACGGATGATACTGACTTCTTGCTAGCAGTCCGGCATACAGGAATCTCGCCATCTGAATTTCTTTCTGTACCAAACGATCAGGTAACCGCTGCGCAAACAGGATTTGATGAAAGTCTATTCGTGCCGCAGGAAGAATATTCGTCATTGTATCTTCCACCTTCGGGACCAGATGTGCCTCCGATGTCTCCAGATGATCAAAATATGCTCGAACTACTTCAGGGGCTCAACCCAGAAGGTGACACAAGTCCACCTGTTCAACAGCTTTCACAGAATCTTCCTTACTCGAGCGCTAGTGCTTCACAAACAGGGAATGCAGGCACAACAGCTGCACCAGCCGATGATGAGAAAGTCTCAAGGCTGTCCGCACTGTCATGTGTCCACTCAATATCATCCTCATCTTCAACCTCCGGGGACACTGACGTACCGGTAGAAGACTTCCCGGATGACACCGGAGACCAAAGCTGCCCAGCAGAGTGGCCTGACGAGGAGCTCGAAACTAGTACCAGGGCTGACTTATCGAAGCGGCAGTAAGTGCATCTTATCATCATGTCCCAGTCTGAGTCTAACTGGTTGCTCCAGATTCAATTCTATCAAGAAATGGTTTGATAGTTTGGAGAAGCCATCTGTGGCAGATGTGATACGCTTGGAAAAAGCAAGGCAACTGGAATTTGCTCGAAAGGAAAGGGTGGCAAGGAGAAAAGCCTTGAAAAACCAGAGTGAACTCTTTGACTCAGAGATTGACGAGCCTGATGAACCCACTTCACGACAGGTTCCTATCGAGAAAAGGACTGAAAGCTCTCATGATGTCCCTGTCAAGCGACAGCCGAAACAGCGACGACAAAACAGGATTTCAGCAGACGAAAAACGAAAGAGCAAGGAACTAGGTCTCGCTGCTGTTCTTGCACAGCAGAAGAAAAGGGGACCTTCGACAAGAGCACCTCGTAAGCGGAAAGAAAGAGGGCTTGACAACGCAATCCCTGGTCCCAGTAAAAAGGCAAAGCGAGGGACCTTAGGTTCCAAAAAATATCTAGAAGCTCTCCTTTCCTCTACGATCGTCGCTGATGCACATGCCAATGCTTCACTCGATGCAATACCTGAACTCAAAAATAAAGATAAGATGAAAGCACTTACACAGCTCGTTGCTAGTCTTCCTAGTGCGGACCAACAAGAGGCTAAAACTGACAAGAAGTCGATCATTATAGCTACCCGCAAGTTCACTAACATTCCGAGAAGCGACGGAAAATCTGGATGGAGACTCAAGGGTATGAATACGAGCTTATACCACTATCAGGTCTGTGTGTCCGTTTCCTTGTTGCCATGACATTAGCTGACAAGTATGTATAGGTTCTGGGCGCTGCTTTCATGGTAAGGAACATATGCACCGAGGTCCCGAAGTCAATAGCAGCTAAGATACGAGCAGCGTGACCGCGAATCAAGGTCACAAAGACCGTTTGGTGGACTCCTGTGTGATATCATGGGTTTCGGGAAAACTATTCAAGCCCTGGGTAAGTGCACATAAAGAGGAGGAATTGGCACATCTAACCTTCCATCTAGCAAATATCATAGATGGCAAACCCTCTGATCCGGATGACCCTATCAAGACTACACTCATCATTGTTCCATCACACCTAGTCACTCACTGGTAAGTTCATCAAATCCCTGCATTCAATTTGTAGTCTGACTTGATTAGGAAAACACAGATCAACCTACATTGCGAAAAGAAAGCAATTGGCAATGTCCTTATATACAAGGCCAGCTCGAGACTTGAGACCCTCGATACCAATGATACAGTAGAGAGCCTCGCAAGATATGACGTTATGTATGAAATTCAGAAAGCTCATCCAATAATAAGGCGGTGTACTTATGCAGTTGATCAGAATTACTACATACGATGAAGTCAGGAGATCCTATCCACGAACTAAGATCGTCGAAAGCGTGGAGGGAGAGGAAAAGCTTGCAGCCTGGTGGGACCAATCCTACGAAGAACAGACCGGCCCGCTACATAGGATGAAGTACCATCGGATCATCATTGATGGTATGCTGTGCCCCCGGGCCTTTTGGCCAAAACCGCAGGGCTTAGACTGCCAGCCCTCTGCAGAAGGTCATGCCATCAAGAACCACCTATCCTCAGTATCCATTGCTGTCCGCTCTCTCACTAGCCATTTTAAGTGGATTTTAAGCGGGACCCCAGTTCACAAGTAAGCTTACCCCTGGTACCTAGCTGTTGTCTGGTTTCCAATGCGTTGTGGTTTCTAATTTAGTATCCATAGCTATCTGGAAGAATTTTATCCGCTCTTCCACTTTCTCGGCGTTCCGGGTATCAAAGATGTTGGATCCTTCATTAAGAACTTTTGCAGCGTGCGTCACTCTTCTTGACTTCTAAAGACAATTGTTAAAGTCAGCCCTACTGTAGGATGATGACGGCCATGACCGCCTTGTAAACATTTTGCGAGCTTTTCTGTTCCGGCGGACACACAAAAGTCGACTTTTCGCGTTACCAGTGATCAAACTACCCGATGTGAACGAAAGAATCGTTCGGGTTGCGTTCTGTGCCGTTGAACGAGAGCTTTACAACGCCATATCAGAGGTTTTCATAGAAAACATCAATGGTGCGTCAGATGCACCCCACGCCCTATTAAGAACTGCTAGAGAAACGCCACTGACAACAAACAGGTTGTGCACAGCTCGAACAGCCCAAATTAGTACAGTATCGATGCTTTCTATCGATGATTCTGATGCTTCGTATGTTTTGCAGTCACCTGCTTACAACGGGTTGCATAGTCAAGAGGCTGCTTTCAGAGGGGAATCTCATGAAAAGGCTTTCCAAAATCGCCAAGGTAAGCGGTGATCAGGATCCATCCTATACTATAGTTAAATTGCTTGTCTCGGTACGGAGAAACACAACGGTACTTAATGAGCGTGAGAATGAAGACACGAGCCAGTATTCCACGGAGCTTCGTGGAGATAAAACGGCGTTGACGGAAAGTTTTCGTCAATTAATGGACGAGCTTCATGATCGTGAGATGTGGGACGAAAGACTACAAAGGACCAATTGCCCCGAATGCGAATTTGTGCCTGTCAAACCTGTGATAACGTCGTGCAAGCATTTATATTGTGAGGAGTGTTACTACTCCTTACGGATGGACAAGGACAAAATGATCATGGAGCCTGAGTGTGTCCGCTGCCGGGTTCCGATCATGGAAGCTGCTTATTTTGAGGAAGCGGTGGGCGAAAAGACACAACCTGCTTCGGTCCTTGAGAGTCTTAAGGGGAAGGAAAAGCAGTCCAAAAAGAAGACCACAACAAAGAAAAAAGGCACGGGCAACATGGGCCGATTCACAACACCACTATCCGAAGAAATGGATGAAGAGCCAGATGCTGACGAGGATACGGACTGGATTGAGGCTTGCGCTCGGAATATGCCGAGTGCTAAACTTACAAAGATACGCGAAGTTCTTACCGAGTGGCTTGCACAGGAATCCCCGGGCAAGATAGTCATATTTACCCAGTTTCTAGATTTCGTTAAAATTCTGTCTACCATGTGTGAAGCAGAAGGGTGGCCGTTTGTCCTCGTGAGCAAATAAGAACCTCAAATATACTCAAAACCCGGGGTGGCTAACTTTCCACAGTTGACTGGAAAATTGAGTCTATCAGTCCGTGAAAACAATATGAAGACGTTTAGTGATAAGAATAGCGAAGTGAGGATTCTCATTGCCAGTTTGAAGGCTGGAGGCATCGGACTAGACCTATCAGCCGCCAACAAATGCATTCTTGTTGACTTGTGGTGGAACGAAGCTATTCAGGAGCAGGTATGTATACTTCTGTCCAGCCACATTGCCTAATAGGACCTTGGTGCAGCTGTTAACGCTCTGGACTTTAGGCATTTTGCCGCTTGTTTCGAATTGGGCAAGAAAGCGAGGTGGAATTTGTGAAGCTTATCGTCGATAATTCTATTGATGACTACCTGCTCGATTTGCAGACGCATAAGACGGCTGTTATAACCGGAGCTATGGGCGACGGAGTCCTAGTGGGACGGGATACAATTGAGGATCTCCTTCGAATGTTCGCAGATGTCGAAAAGGACTCTAGAGGGGTGCTTCATCTCAGGGCCAAGACAGCGTCGAGGGATATTAGAATTGGAGCTGGATTCCCACCAACTTTTGGCGTCTTTTGAACGGAAATCTATTATGATAAGCAACGACTATATGCTACAGGTTTGATGTCAGTTCTTTCCGTTTTGCATGCTGCTTTGATTTATGGAGTTGCTTGGTTTATACCCAGCAAATATGACCGAGAGGAGGCCGGCGTACTCGGAGGTTCTGGTTGTTTCGCTTTTTATTTGAAATCTGTCTCGTTTTGCGCTTTAGTTAGGTCTGCCATAGAGCTGGCTATTATTTGCAATAGTTTCAGTGATATTGATAATTGCGAGCGCGGCCAAGATGGCACATTTCCTTCTCAGTGGCTCTAGTTTTAAGAGGAAATACATTACTATTTGAGATTTTTACTCTTCCCGATCAAGATACTATACACTCACAGTTCAATGAAATACCGACGCAGGCAAATTGGACCCCGACCAACCCAGCACACAACAAACTTAGCCACCTTACTTCAACCCTCACCCACTGAATACACCTACAACCTTCTCGGCCCGCGCCTTCCACGCCCAGCAACACCACCAGCACCATCATCACCCTGCACCCCCTCTCCAAGCATCCTCGGCACCAGCACATTACTACTATTCAACGCCACCGACCCCCTATCCTGAGACCCCAAAACCCGCGACTGCCATCTCAAACGATGATATCTTCTCCTCCTCCGATTCGCATAATCATGCACCCCCAGTCCCAAATCGTCAGGATCCACCTCTGTATCAGCATACTCTGACTCTGACTCGACTCTCCAAGTAGGAACCCCGGAACCCCATCTTCCACTTTCACCTCCACCTCCACCTCCACCAGCAGCAGGACTACCTTCATCATAATCGAGTCTCATCTCATCCTCATCAGCATCAGCATCATAATGATCATGAAATGAACGATCAACAACCTGCGAAAAACTCTCAGCCTCAGTCTCAGTGATCATTCCCACCGGATCGTGGAGGGTCCCAGCAACAATATTACTATTGATGTTCTCTTTATCTGAGTCCCAGTCTTGGTGATAGGCACGTACTTCTTGGTTATTATTATGGTTGTTGGTGTAGGGATAATGAAGGTACCCGGGTAGCATTGAAGCTACTCGGTTTGGGCGTGGAGAGAAGGATAGTAGACCCCCTCTGTCTGGGATGATGATGTCTTCGAAGATGGTGAAGTCGAGATTGCTGTTGTTATTGTGGTTGTTGTTGTTGCTAGGTCTTGTTCTGGGGGTGGGGATGGGGTAAGAAATGGGAATGGGGGTGAAGTTGTTGTTGCTGTCGAGGCCGATGAGGCTGCTGGTTAGGCAGCCGCTTTGGGTTGGGATGGTTGGTTGTGTTGCCTCTTGGGCTGTGGGTGTCTGGTGGTGATGAGAGGGGTGGTGAGAATGTGATGTTATTCATACCTCACCACGAACAGGGGACGAGATATTCGGAACTTACTACCATTTTCCCTTCTTCTCCTTCTCCATTCCCGTTATGAACCTCAAGTTGAGGGTTATGATAATCGTCACCATCGACATCCATGTCCATGTCTTCATCAACAGCAGCAGCAACAGATGGATTCTGTGTGGAGATATACTGCTGTTGCTGCTGATAAGTCGAGCTCACATCCATAGCATCCCTAAACGCTCTATCATGCGCCTCGTTCTCCAAGGCCCGCACCGCAAGCATCCGGTACTCGTTTATGCGGAGGGCATCTTCCTGGTCTTCAATTTCTCTGTTCAAAGCCTCTTCAAACCGCTCAGCTTGTCTGGTGAAGGGGGAGGGGAGACGAGGGCGTTTGAAGGGTTGGTGGCTGTTTTCTTCATTGTTGGTTGCGTTGGGGGTGAGGTTGTTGAGAGAGCCTGTGGAGGTATGGTTGTTGGAGGAGTCGTTGTCGTTATCATCACAGGCTGCTCTTCTTTTACGAGTGGTGGTTTTGTTCATGGCGGTTGTGGTCTGGATAGGTTGGGGATATGGACGGTAATCAGATTATTTTCAGTGATGGAGAATGAGAAATGGTGGGTTGTTGGATCTGGATTGGTAAGGAGCTGTACTTACACTTGTATCTTGGTTCATGTTGTCGCCGATGGTTTTGGTCATCGTAATGGGATGGAGATCAGCTTTATGTGGATGGGTTTGGATGGGCTGTGTGGGGATGGAAGGTTAGCGAAGGCTGGTTGCCTTGTAGGACAAGCTGTCAGAGTGGTGCTTGATATGAGGATAGTAGAATGGGTTATTCACGCGTTGGGGCGTGCCATCATCGTAGTTATCATCAATTGGGTATAGAAGACTGCGCCTCATAGAAGAATACTCACCTGGGGTCTGAGATGATGTATCTTGATGCAGATGAGTTGAAGTAGAAGCTCGGCGGTCAGAGTCAGAGTAGCCGAATCCTCAAGCAGATGTGAAGGGATAAAGTAGGAAGAAGAAGTATGAAGTAGGAGAGGGAAGCGAGATGGCTTAAAGCAATCGTGGGCAGCGCGGAGTCCACCGGTCATTCACTACAGCTACTTCGCCTCAGGCACCTGTGCCAAATATAGCCTACACACATCTACAGATTAAGCACAGTTCAAGCAATAGGTTTCATTGAAGCCATAATGTCAGCTAGTGATTCAGGTCTGCAATATAATGGCTTTAGGTCACATCTCAGAGATCTGCAATCTGCCTATTGCTTTCCTTTATGTAATCCCCCAGGGTTGTTATACATCCAGACACAAACGAGTCCGGCTGTGATACAGTCTCCTAATCAGTCCCAAGCCTCAGCAGGTGGCTAGGTCTCTCCTGAACTCCATCAAACTAGCCCTTTGTCATGCACCAAATACACACACATAGATAAATCAGATACAAGAAGATTAGAAGGGTGCATTGTTCTGGCGTAACAAAGACATAAGTATGAGAAGATCAAGGACATATCTCATATGGCGTTTGCACATTCTCCTTGAATTCGTCTCCCTAGGACACTGTACGAACCACCCCGGACTTCGCGCAACCCCTACCGGAACTGTCCAGGCCCGAGCATGCCGCGCGGGGCCTCGCCGCCAACTTGGCCGAACATATCCAACAGGTGCCTGGAAGCGGGGGGAGGCACTTGAGGTCCAGGGTTGCCCTCAAAAGGACCTTGGCCACGGTGGGGAAGCCCCATGAGAGCATCACCGTTGGGCGGCATGGGTGGGAAACCGGCTGGCGGAGGTCCGTTCATGTATCCGGGAGGAGGCATCATGCCTGGAGGGGGAGGACGCGGGAATGGTTCACGCTCGTTGAGGGGTGGTGCATTCGCATGCATGGGCATCATGTTCGACATGTAACTTGGGTTGACGCCGCGTGTAGGTGTCGGAATACCCGGAGGAGGTGCCAAAGGCGCGGGTCCAGCAGCTTGCTGCGGGGGCATCTGAGGTCCTGGCCATCCAGGAGGAGGCAAATGCTCGAAGCCTGGTGGTCTCTGCATGCCCATAGCAGGATGGCCTTGAGCCTGGGGAGCTCTGCTGCCGCCGGGCGTCATAGGAAGTTGTCCGCCCTGAGGGAACGGCATATCTTCGAAATATCCCAGGGGGGGCCCATTTGCGGGCCGGCGACGAAGATGCTCAGCATCGGGTCTCTGCATGTTTGCTATCGCAGGGTCATCCAAGAAGTTGGGGCCCTTTTGCGGGGTCGGAATGCCTGGAGGGGGAGAAAGCACTTCCGGCATGCTCACCAAACCGGGGGCCGGGCCGACAGGACCAGCACTTTGGGGCTGGCTCTGGGCACCCTGGTTGGCAACGGGACTAACACGGACCTGCTGCATCAGTCGCAGTAGATGTTCCCGATCTCGAGCATGTGTCTCCTGGACATAAGGGTTAGGACCAGGGCCACGAGCAACTGTCTCTTGCATGGCGAAGTACTCCTGCCGCTTGAGTTGATCTCGAGCAGGAGATGAAACAGCACTCCGGATCTGTTCGGCCTGTACCTGCGAAGGAGGCCGGTTGTACGCAACAGGGTCATTGTGAGGTGTCGCGTTGCGCGATTTTCCTCCACCAAGCATCTGCAGGATGCGCTGGAAACCTTCCTGATCGGCATCAGTGTTGACGGTGTTCATCGAAGGCGACGACCTGGTCTCTGGATGAGTTTCGGGTTCCTTGGCCGGACTTCCCGGTGGTGGCGAGAATAGTCCAGCAAAGCGCGACGACTTTCCAAGCTTTCCTGGGAGTGGCTCTTTCTTCATTGTTGGTTCCATCATGGGAGGAGGAGGAGGAGCGCTTATCTCCTGGGGTAGTGGAGGCGCCTGAGGTGGCTTGGAGTCCCCAAGCAATCCAAAGAACCGCTCCATGGCCGAATCGGACGTGAACGGAGCGCCATTGCTGCTGAAAATCTCGCCATCTGTAGGCCTAGGCTCTGGCTTCGGCGCGGGAGCAGGAGCAGGAGTCGTCTCCAAGGGGACCTCCTTTTCTTCGGCTTGAACCTGCGAGGAGCCCGCCTTCATCCTTTCCTTCCAGCGTTCAAAGTCTTCTTGTGTATGCACTCGGCGAGGCTCATCTCGATCAGTCGAATCCATCCACTCGGGATCCTGTTCGAACTTGGCTCCCCGCGTCCAGTCACGATCTGCACCGTGCCGATCTCGACGCCATTCCCTGTTTCGTATCGGAGTCTTCTCCTCCTCCGCATCAGCCGCGTCGTGGGTATTCTCCTCACGAAACCAACTTCCCTCGTGTCTCGCACGTCCGGGCGTGCCGTCCTTCCGTGGGAAGAATCGTGCATCCTTATCTTTAACTCCACGGTCATTGTTGGGTTCTCGCTGGTCGCGGTTCTCCCACCGATCGAACTCTCCGTTGCGTCTCGGCTTTCGATCCTGTTCCTCGGGGCCGAAAGTACGGCGGGGGCGTCCACTGTTCCAGTCCTCCCTGTCCCCACGCCGGTTGTTGTTGTTGAATGTTCCTAATTTTCCATCTCGTCGGTCAAAATCTCTGTCACCAGACTCCCGGTCCTTGAAGAACTTCTCCCGTAAGTTGAACCGGTCGTTCTTCGAGTCATCCTGGTCATTAGGCCTTGACGATCGTTCCGTAGCATCTATCGATCCTTTACCGGGTATACGAGATGCCGAAGCAAAAGCAGTTTTCGGGGGTCCGAGAATGATGTCCTCTATGGGCGATCAACGACGTCATGCATCAGTAAGGTCCTCGAATTTTCAATCCAAGAAAAGAGAACAATGGACATGGGGTATTCGACATCGGGAGAGAAGAAGAAGTGGGATGGTTATTACCTGAATTGGAATTCCGGGACACATGACGAGTTTCAAACAGACTGGGCCTTCTGGGGGTCGATTCATGGGGGTTATTGGGGTCTCGCGAGTTTGTAGCTTTCCGTTGGGTAGCTGGATCGGGGATTGGGCTAGCACGTAGGATGACTGCGTCAGTTTCGGGGATATCGCAATTGATTGATGAGGCAAAGGAGCAGGCAGAGTGAACTTACCCCATCCATTCTTCTACCGGCGGTAAATTGGTAGGCTTTGTAACCAGAGGCGACGACCGCAGCCATAGCAGCTCATCGATCTGGTACCGTCGCGCCATGAGGATGGCTTGGGTGAGGTGGGTGTGTGTGATGCTATCGGTATGCCGTTACGTCGATCTCATTGGTTGCCGACAGTTCAAGGAAGAGAAAAGGTGGAGTGGAATTTATCGCGGGACAAGGAAAGGAAGAAAAGGCGAGTAAGGTAGACTGCGAGGCACCGAGGCTAGGCTGTGGGCGTAAAAGGTGTGTACTGTGTAGTGTGTAGAGAGGATAGATGATGAGTGGGCAGCAGGAAGCGAAGCCGCTTGCCAGTGGCAAGGGAAAAGGCGGAGGAGAGAGGAGCTTCGATCGGTCAAAGGTCCAGGAGCGCTCGTTGGGAAGCAGATGAGGGGCACCAGCGGTGCAACAAACCGTGTGGCCGGATTTGTTTGTGTAGAGGGAATCCCAACTGGTCTCGGATAGATCGATAGACAGTAGTGTAAATTGAAGGAGGACAAAAGCTGGTGGGGAACAAACAGAAAGGGGGCAGCAGCAGAAGAGGTGGTGAAGGGGAAGGGGAGTTTGGGCAAAGTTGCGGGCAAAGATGTCGAGGACCGCCGGACCGCAACGAAGTTCAAAACGTGTGCACTGCCCAATGGGGAAGGTCGCCTGTCAGCTTGTCGACGCCTTGTTCTTGACTTCTTCACTTCTCCCCAATTTCTCCATCTGTCGGGATTTTCCTTCTAACTGCTGCAAATTAATCGCCTTCTCACACAGAGGAGTTAGTGACTGTTTACTATTATTTTACGAATTATCCTTCCCCTGCCCATCATTCACTGCGATTTCAGTCATCCATGTTCCCCAAGCAACTCAACCCTCGGTACCGCCAGCAACCAACCCCAACGCAGAGCAGAATCCTGATGGAGTAAGGCATCGCTTGGGATACGTCATATAGTACATTCCATCTCTTAAAATAACCTGTCTTTCAATGGCGCAAAGATGAGGCCAGTGTGTACTTGGCTAGAGTGCAAAGATCAGATAAACCTATCAGATTTCATATTCCATCCACAACTGACTAAACAGACCATTATGGATTGCTCTAATAACTATACGCCTGATTCGAATGTCAATTACTATGCAGCCAAGTGCCTAGATTGAGGGCAGCAGCGTTCATATCCAATCTCCTACGACCGGACACTAGCCCACAATGCTCTCTACCGCTCGCAAAGCGGCTCCTCCACTCCATTTCGAAACCCGATCATTATCCGAGATTTGCTTCAAGGAGTCGGCAATCGCCGCAAGAGTTGACGTCTCTTTGCCCTTGACAGCCGGCATCTGACTCTGAATCCAGCTGAGAATACCCGCTCTCGTGACAAGTGTTGTGCTTCCTTGCACTTGCGTCGCGCGGTACACTAATTGCAAGATCTTTCTCTTGGTTGAGTAGCCTGCCGAAGGCGACTCGTAGAATGCAAGCGCTCTCTCGAAGACCTTCGCACGGCGGTAGATGTCCATATCCTATAATTTGAATAAGTAACACGATGGTGTAAGAAAGGGAAGACGGCGACATACAGCTTCAGTGCGAAGACCCTTGATGAGTAAATCAAGGAGCCAGCTAGTCTCGTCGAAATAACCGTCGTCAAGTTCCGGTTCATGCAGTAGGATTTTGTCAATCCAGTAGGATGGAATCTTCTCCACCTCCCAGGAAGGAGCTTTCTGCAGGAACTTGTTGACCTTGCCGTACATTTTGTGCATCGGGTTCGTGAGAACAGTCAAGCAACTGGACGCGCACTCCCCCACAATCCACGGTACGGGCGATTCAAGCCCAATCTGCTTGACAGTCTCGAGAAGCTCCCCCGTGAGGATGTAGACTGATCGCCATTCCACATATTTAGACTCCTGCGAGTATGTTAGCTTATTTTCTACTCTGTTTTCCGCAGAAGGTACCGGCTCAACGGTTGACCTACCTTAAGTTTGCCCATAAAACGAACAATGCTCGTGAATGCTTGCTTCCTCACTTCCTCGTATGCCGAGCACAAGCAGAGAACCAGTTCGGCTATCCGGCCTTGCTCAACCGCCACCTCGATGTCATCCTTCTCCCATCGGTGCAGCTCATTGTGGGTGGTACTTTCTGTCGGTAAGGTTCCGAATACCTCCTCCAAGTCTACCTGATCCTTGCTGGCGGTAGTTGTAGTATCTTGGGCAGGAGCATCAACTTCCATCGCATGGTCATCTTCAGCATCTTCAGTGTCTTTCAATGCTTTTTTGAGGGCCGAATTTGACTTCTTATTCTCGGCATTCTCCATCAGCTTGTCCCGGGCGGTTTTCAGTGCCTTGGCGTTTTCTCCGGCGCGCTTCAAGCTTCCTAGCGTCTCAGAAATCCAGGAAACCACCGCGCTCTCGACAGCCGCGTCTCCGGATTTGACAACAAATGGCCACTGTTCGATGACTGCAGCTACCAGAGGGCTAACCGGGCTGGAGGGACCCTCGACCAAAGAGTCAACGAGGTCTTGATAGTGGACCGGTTTCTTTGCAATACGGCGGGCGCAGTTATCGAAGAACGATAGTTGGCGCTGGAGTTTCTCCGAGTCTGAAGTCTCGAAGCTTGACAGGATTGCGGGAAACGAGGAGGGGTTCTGCAGGACAGAGTACTCGGTGAGGACGGTCCGCAGCAGCTGGTCGATCTCACGCAGGGAGTATCTTGACGCTGTTTGAACCAGCACCTTAAGGATTGACGTAAAAGCAGAATACTGCATAGACCCCGGTTGTTGCCACCAACGCATGGAAGTAGACTGTTGGATGATCCTCATGATGTTTTGCAGCTGGCTCAGCACTGACTCGGTATCATCCTCGTCGAGCTTTCCTTCATCCAATCGCTTCAGAACGTCAACCAAAATGAGTGAAACGTCAAGTCCTTCCTCAAAGGCGGCACCCGGTACTACCTCATAGAACGAAGCGAGAAGCTCTGAGACAGCATCCTGCTGCTGCAAGTCATCCTTGTCCGTTCGCTTGAAAAGCAGAATGACTTCCTTCACTCCGGGGCACCGACGACTGAACTCAGCAACCAGCTTGCTTGCCGCCTGTGTCCACAGGGGTTGGCTGACCCCATGGTCGGCATTGAAGATCTTGAGAACAGCCCGCAGTTTGTTGAAAGCAATTGTCAAAATTCGGACAGCAAACAATGTTACTATCTCAGCATTCATATTCAAGCAGCGGGTAAGGATTTTCTGGGTCAGAGGGCGAGGAAGCACATTCTCAATGACCACGGAAACGGGCGGCGGTGTCGGAGGTAACTTGTCCTTCCAGCCACAATTTGAGGGCACAGGCAGCTGTACGGCGGAGAAGAGAAGCGCAGACTCGGCCATCCATGCTGGGGTCGGCTTTGGGTCCGCAGTAAACATGCTCTTCTTCGTGAAGAAATCGGCAACTAGCTCCGGGGCCGCCTTGAAGATGGCCACTAACAGCTCAATCTGGAGACTGTCGGTATCCGGGCGAAGTGTCTGGATCAGATAAGACAGTGTTCCGTTGCGAACAGGTACAGACTGGCTGTACTTGTCGATATGAAGAGCAGAGTCAAGACCCAAATCGATCAGTGTGTCATCGTCCGTGGGTAGCGCCTCGGGATCACTCCCATGTGGATACCAACCAGACTCTGGAAGCAAGACTCCAAGTTCGGTGTTCGTACAGACATTCATCAGGATCTTGTGGATTTCGTCGGTAGTGGAAACATTCGCCGGGTTGGGCTCCTCTGACTCACGATCATAGCCGTAGAGTGTGACAAGTCGCTCCAGGTTCCATCGGTTGAAGAACTTGCTCTTTGCAATGCGAGAAATCGAAGCATCTTGGATAATGTCTTTGCCAATACACCTGATAGTCTCCAAGATGATATCTCTCGGGTCTTTCCTAATGTACTCGAAAAATGCTCTGATAACTTTGTGTTGCTCAATAATATCACTCTTCCCGTTTGATTGCAAAAATCGCATGTTTGCAAGGACATACTTCTGAGCATTCCTGCGCAGTGTAGGTTTGGAGCCTGCCTCTGATACTTCTTCCAGCTGAGATTTGTTGGGGGTAAGAAAGACTTCGATGCGCTTGAATGTAATATACCGCGCGGCATGGACATGGCGCGCCACAGCTCCACCATCGAAGCTGACCATCTCCGTGAGAAGACGAAGACAGGGAGAAATCAAATGCTCCTTTGATTTGATAGCAGTCAAGCCACGGTTGAACAGTCTCAGCTGTTCTTTCTGAAGGAGATACTTGCATAGTGCCACTCCGAAATCCCGAAATTCCAGGTTGGTGGACACTGTCTTGAGGAACTGAGCTAGGACAGAGGGCACAACAGTCAGTAACGACTCATTGTTGTTGGTATCCGCAAAGCTCCAGGTCTGGACCAGATCGGTAAAGCAGACTGCTTCGTTCTCGTTCACCCGTGAGAATTGCGAATCACAGTATGCTTTGAGGATGCGGAACTTTTTGGCTTTTTCAGCCTCATCCTCACTCTGCCCAATGGACGTGAGGAAGTCCTTGAACTTTCTTATACCTGTTTTGATGAGTATTGGAACATCATGGGTGACTTGACTCAGGATGTTACTTACCTTGCTTGAATTCAGTGGGATTCTGTTGGAAAGCCAGGGAAGAGCGAAGCTGCGTGTGCGAAGATATGGTGGCAGTAGCATCGACATCTTGGCCATTGTCCAACTTTCTCCTCTTGTTGCGGAGCTGACCCTCGTGGGATGACATTTTGGGCTAATGCAGATACTTGTGTTATGCAACAGACCGGGGACTGGCCCTCGACGAGAATTAGTAGTAGGCCGGCAGGAACTTCGCCCGATTCAGACCTTCAGAGTTTTGCGACTGCTGAATTGGTCTTTTGTTAGTGCCACTACGGCGAACTTAAGAGGACAGAATCGTCCAGCTAGCACGCGTGTTCCTGGGAAATATGTAAATATATATTATAGAGGAAGATAATCGTAAGTGGATGAAAATATTGCGATAAGAGGCTCGCCGGTAGACTTCTGGAAAGTCCTGCGCAGATGAATTGATCCACTGCCATGAATGTATCTGGCCTCCCATTGGTCAGATCTGGTATGGTCCAGACAGGACGGCGATTCAGACTAACACTTGGAGGCGACTCACTGGTAGTAATAAAGGCTAACAGGGGGCTTATCTTCCATAGTGAATGAGGGGTAAGGCCACATCACTCCTGGTATAAGTCTCTGTCGTATTCCGACTGTTCCATCCATGACGATGTAACTACCGAGCCAACAATTTTCATCTATCTGCTAGTACTACCATGCTTTGTTATATTAAGGAGTAAAAAAACAATACATCAACCAGCTTCTATGGCTCAGTTGGTAGAGCGCATGACTAGTAATCATGAGGTCCGCGGTTCGAATCCGCGTGGAAGCAAATTTTTGCCTTATGCAGTACCTACAGATATGCGCTTTATAGCTTGAGATATGAGCAAGCATATCAACCAATCAGCTTCTATGGCTCAGTTGGTAGAGCGCATGACTAGTAATCATGAGGTCCGCGGTTCGAATCCGCGTGGAAGCATTTTTTGTTTTCTTTTCCGACCTTCAGACCCACTGCTCGTCGGCAGAATGTTAGACGTGTATAACTTTTTGATCGCCCATTAGATCATCTACGATTAGTCCACCGTAAATAGACTCTTGCACTCACCGGAGCTGGAGAATACCTTTCAACCAATAGGGCAACCTCCTCTTCTTATTACATCAATCGATAATAAGTATTGGCCGACCATCTAGTAATAGAGGAATGTATAAACACGGCCTTCGTCCTTTCCTGTTCTCTCCCAATCCGACCGCAGTGGGCGTTGAGGTGAACGGGCATGCACATCGGCACCCCAGCCTGCACCCCGTTTTTCCATGCATTCTATTCACTCTGTAGTCCCTAGTAGCATTGCAGACACCTTGTGTCCATTTTTGCTATCAGTACCTGCAGATTATCAGGCCCTTGCTCCCCTGCTAGGCTCACATCCGAATCAATCAATGGATCATGGATGGAACTGAACACGCGAGGAATTTGCTTAATCCGATTCCCCAGGCCTGGTATTATTTGGCTCTCAATCGATCTTTTGACATTTCTGCAAGGGGAACCGGAAATACCGGCCACATACTATCCTCGGATGCTCCAGGTTCTCCCACTAGAAGTGGGCCATTCGGATATTCCGCGATCGGCAGGGCAATTCTGCACCCCAAGCAGTCCCAATCATGGATGCGTACGCAGCCGAGACCCGTGAAGGCGAATAACATGTCGCTGTTGGAATCAGACCCACCCCCGCGTAGAACTGACCCTCTTAGAGTATCTATACAGTCTACCGAGGTCAGTGCCGATGCTGGTATGCGTCCATGGTTAGACAGAGCGCTCAGAAGCTGGAGAATGGGTCATCACAAACGTGGGAACCCCGGACACATAAAGGTAAGCAACCACTCTCCCCAATTTTCGCATCAATGCGTCATTAACCATGATCCTGTCTACCCTCCTACTCCTCCTACCGGTTCTAGCGGCCGCCAGTGATGACCACTTGACTGTCCGCACAAGGACAGGCAGATTCACAGGCCTTCTCAATCCAGACTTTCCCTCCGTGCGGGAGTTCCGATCTATCCCATACGCGCAACCCCCGGTAGCCTCACGACGATGGCTTCCACCCGCACCTCTCGCCGACTCCGATGAAACTCACTACGCGACCAACTACCCTCCCTCCTGCGCCCAATATGTCTCCGGAAACCCCAGCGTCTTCGGCTCCATCGTCCCCGAATTCTACATATGGGACGGGAACGAGAACTCCACCGCTGGCCTAATGGCCCAAGCCAGCTCCGAAGACTGCCTGCAACTCGCCATCTGGGCTCCTACCAACGCCACTAACCTCCCCGTCATCGTCTTCTTCACCGGCGGAGCATTCAAAACTGGCGGAATCAACATCCCCTACCAGCTGCCTCCATCCTGGGTCTCTCGCACCCAAAGCCACATCGTAGTAACCACCAACTACCGCGTCAACATCATGGGTTTCCCCAACGCCGCCGGTCTGGACAACCAAAACCTCGGAATCCTTGACCAACGGGCCGCCCTGGAATGGGTGCACGAAAACATCCATAACTTCGGCGGGGATCCCGAAGCCATCACCCTCTGGGGCCAATCCGCCGGCTCCATCTCCACAGACTTCCACACCTACGCATGGCACGACGACCTCATCGCGCGCGCCACAATCTCCCAATCCGGCACAGCCCTAAAACCCCTCGACAACTACGACCACGACCACACGAACTTCACCTTCGTCGCGAAACACATGGGCTGCGACTTCCCCACCAACCCAGCCGCTGAACTCGACTGCATGCGCCAAGTCTCCGTGAACCGCATCCAGAACTTCGTCGGACAGTACACCGACAACGGCACAACCCCAAAATTGACATTCACCCCCATTGCAGACGAAGAGATCGTCTTCTCAGACTACCCCGCTCGCGCTGCAAAGGGTCTCATCGCCAACACCCCGGCCATCATGTCCAACTGCGCCAACGAGGCCGCAGCGCTATACACGTTTCCCACAAACAACGTCACCGCGGGACCATGGCAGCCTGGCGTGAACGCCGCCACATTGGAAGGTTGGCTCTGCGTGTCCGCGAACACAAGTATCGTGCGGTATAATGCGAATCGCACAACGTATCGGTACCAGTTCGCTGGGAACTTCAGTAACGTGAGTCCGATGCATTGGTTGGGCGCGTACCACTCCAGTGACCTGACGATGAACTTCGGGACGTATCCTATTGTCCGTGGAAATGGGACGTTGCTGGAGAAGAAGACGAGTGAGGCTATGCAGGATTACCTATTGGCGTTTATGAGGGATCCGGAGAACGGGCTGGAGCGGATGGGGTGGCCGGCTTTTGAGCCCTTTGGGGAGAATGGCGGAGTGATCAAGCGGTTTGGGGCTGATGGGCGGCCGGAGCAGAATGTTACGGGGTTGGAGGTGCAGGGGGCTTGCTGGGGGAAGGAGCAGTATGATCCGTTTCCATAAGGATGAATATGTTGTGGGGGTTAGAGGTAGTCCTACTTTCTTATTCTATCTTTCTTTGGTCAAGTAAACTGCAGTATATCGACTGCTATGTACATGTAAAGAGAAGGCAGCATAACACAACATTGTTTATGTTATTGACTGTTATAGAGACAACACAGTCTTTCAGTTTGAGTGACCGTAAATCAGAATCCATTCCTTATGGCCTTATTGTACCACATAATGTCTAGCCAACGCACCGCCTTAATTATTTGAGTGAACCAGTGCGCTCGACCGAGTATGCCAAAGAAGCACCGGGTAGTGTCTGGCGAGTTTCCTATAATGAAGGGCCCGAGAGATTTCACTTGAAGGTCTATCGATATTAAAATCATTATGTACAATAGCTAACACAAATTCATAGCCGTAAAGGTATTAATGTGACCAAACCCATCCTATCCCGGGGCGCGAGTCAAACGAAACACCGCCTGGCCAATCAATCATTACGATAATTGTTCTTTCGTGGGGTCAATGCAGTTCACAGATCCAAAAATCAATGCCAATTCATCCAACCCATTCATGGATTTTTTAGTGGAAATATTCCCATCAATGTTCGTCCTCATAATCATGCGCGGTTACATAACCTTGGGCTGCCCATCGAGTTCGGGATGCGGTCCGGTCCGATCCAGCTCATATACTGTATGAGCCACGGGTTGAGTCTGCGCCCACGAACCATCTCCCAACCCATTATATCCCCCGGCTCCTTGGGGAAGCACATTATTCTGCGCTTTCCGCCGGCGGAAGTACAGAAGTGCTAGTATGGCTGCGACTATGACGAATCCTGCGGCAGCGCCCACACCGATCCCGGCTGCCGCGCCGGCACCGATACCGGAAGATGCACTGCTCGACGAACCGGTAGAGGAGGAAGAGGACGAAGTTGTCGTGGTATTAGCGTTCGAGGAATCGGAGGTAGAGGTAGAAGATGCGATCGCATAAGTTGGTGTGCCGGACGCCGTGGATGGCAGATATTGAATGGTAGCGAGTTTTGAGGGCGCGACGCCGGGGAAGATTTCATCGGAAGGGTTCGAGCAGTTGACCGTGCCGTATGAATTTTCGCAGCAGGCCCAGTAGCCATCGGAAGTGTATACGATCTCGGCGCTGTTTCTGCCTCCTGTGAAAATGGAGAAAATACTCATGTTAGCGATCGCATTGTCCTTGTCAGGAAATAAGATAAATCAATTGAATCTCACCACATCGTGTCCCGCAGGCGGGATCTGTCAGGGTCTCGTCTGTGCAGTCGGCCGCATAATAATAATCTCCGTCCTTGTCGTTCGTGTTCACGCAGATGGAATTGCTGAGGCAGTAGTCGCCATTGACGCAGCAGGTAACATAGGGATGGCTGGAGTTGGTGACACCACACGGCAGGTCGGCCTGGATATTCTGAATTACCCCGTTGTGCATGCCATGGCAGACTTGTGAAGACATGATAATTATGGACGAACCGGAGCGTATGCCGGTTGTTGGTTCAAGGTCGGATATGCCCCTCCTTTGGTTGCGCAAGGATTATGACCCCCAGAATTGGTTTCTGTTGGATTTCTCGGGCGGAAATGCCATCGAGCTTTGAGGCTGACGAACGCAAGGATAAGGGATCGGAAAAACCATTGCTCTAGTCCGTGTGTTTTGGGGGCCAAAGGCTGATCGTGCTCAATTGTGAGGATTTGGCGGAGATGCGCTATGATGGAAGAAGCCAATGAAAGACGGATGGAGAGCAGCGGTGTCACTTTAGCTTGCGGAAGGGACGCACTAAAACAGCCTCTGAACTCTTAAATCAGCACTCGCTAATGTAATAGGGTAACTACACCTTATCGGGCCTGGCCGGCTGAGCCCTTACACGGATGGCTTGTCGATCGCAATGACACCCGCGATAACCTGCGACAGGGTTCTTTAGGGTGGAAAATACTTCCCCCCAGAGTAGTATGATAGCCATGCCGGCCTCACCATATTCCGCCAACTAGTCAATCACAATCTTAAATACGAAGGTTTGCTATTTTCGTGGTCAACGAAGCAGGCTAAAGACTTGGCTATTTATACAACGAATTATTGCGTATTACTTGCTGGTGGTTTTATATTCTTAGCTCATACAAAGCGGATCTTATAGTATTCAAGGACCTAGAACAGCTGATGCGAACATTACAATCGATGGATTCAAATGAAACATTTTAGATAATATGTTAATTAATACCAATCTGGAAAATTACCTTACGCCCATATTGGCATGGATGAACTTAGGGTGTACAGGTCGCCAGGTCGCCAGATTGTACGGGATGTTACCATGGGTTTTACTGGTAACTAACGTTTTTTTTTTTTCCGCAATGAACTATCCCTCTAGCGAGCTATAAATGGTATGGCACCTCATCACCAATCTCATGATAAAGTGCCTCTAAGGCCGCTACAACATCCTCAGGCAGCGGACCCGCCTCAATCGTGTCGATATTCGATTCCAACTGGGCGATACTGGAGGAACCAATGATGATGGAATCTCCATACTCTTTGCGAAGAATACCGTGCCACGCACTCCAGCGAAGGGCAGCAGCATGGCCACCAATGCCATGGCGAGCCGTAACTTCAAGAGTCTTATCCGTTGCTTCCATAATGGCAGGTTTCAGGTAATTCCCGGAGTACATTGCGCCAATCATATGCTTGAATCAGTTAGCCCGCATTTACTTCGGGTGCCAAATGTTGCACTTACTGATGGGTCAAAACGTCCACCCGCCTTGAGCTTCTTATGGTTGCCGGCGAAAAAGCCAGCTGCGGCAGGGCTATAGGCATAAAACGCGATTCTATGCTTGCGCAAAAGTGGGAAGAGACACTTTTCTCCGCTTCGGACAATAGGGTTATAGTGGCCTTGGTATACACTAGGTTTTACAGAGCTGCGTTCTTCACAGATGTCGATAATCCGCTGGACTTCCTCTGCGGCGTAGTTAGAGAGGCCCCAATGTTTGATCTTGCCCTCCCTATGCGCTTGGTCCATAGCTTCACACGCTTCCTCGAATGGAGTCTCGCGATCCGGTAGGTGAAGATATTCAGTGTTGATCTGTTTGATCTTCAGAGCCTCGAGAGATAGATCAATCTCCTCAAGGACCTTCTCTTTCGTATGGCATCTTGGATGGCCGGACTTGACTTTGGTATCAAGTATATATCTATTACCAACTTTGATGGCACCGATTCTTGGCTCTGAGCTACCAGGTGCCATGGGTGAGTAGAGGCGTGCGGTATCAATTTGATGATATCCACGGGCAGCAAAGGCGCTGAAATAGGCATTCACTTCGTCGGGAGTATCGAAGCGTGCAGTGGGGTCGACTGACTTGTCTCCAACGTAGACGGTGCAGGTCAGTATGGGGATACATAAGAAAAGAGGTTCGATCGAGGTAAGGAAACTAACATTTCCCGCTCCAAGGACCAGGTTAAGGGGTGGTTTTCCTGGGAGCGCCATTGTGAAATTGTAAGACTTGATGAGAAAGTTAAGAAATGATCTGTCTGCTTTCTGACGTTAAAAAATCGCAAAGGATCGCTATTTGACTGCCGCAGGTCTCAAGTTTCTTCGAGCGCTGGAGGCCTTACTAGTATGCCTATATATACCTTGAGACGTCCGTCGGAAGGTCTATGTAATACCCTGATATCTTCATATTCACATGTATGTAAAGACCTAGTGTATATAACAAGTAACAAAGAACAACAAAGAAAATACACTGTGAACATTGGGGTAGTGGAATGACGTCAATGACATTGAGACCAACAGCAAGCATTCCACTACAATAACATTACGTAATGTTCGCAAAGTTGAATGCTGACACCGAAGACATTAATTTGAGTATACTGTGTTTGTGATTTTGAATCTAAACATACATAACAGGCAGGAAGCCTAATCAAGGTAGGTGATATCACTGATATTTATAGAAATAGCATGAAGAGTTTGCCCATGTGAATACAGACTTCGAAGCATAGATGCTAGCCAGATCATTATAAATGGTCGGATGGGTTAACCATGTAGCTGGAAAAATGAGAATGATGTGTGAAGATAGAAGAGGCTGGCTGGAACAGTCCATACCAATGACAAATCGCTAACTGGTGACGGGGAGGCTGGGAGGCTGCCCAAACCGTGCACCGAAGTCCATGCCTCAGACAAGCCAACATGCCATGGAGCGTATCTTGCAAAGAGACAAAACAGCACGACGATCAAAGCCGTCTCCATGAGCCCCAAATGCGACATGCTCAATTGCCGGTAAAACAAACTAGAGTTTCAGTGCGCATGTGGGTATACCTACCTGCTATCCCCATCTTGCTGGGAGGAATACCATCTGAGAGCGTATGACAAGTGTCGATTGTAGACCCTTGCTTAGTGGGTTTCAGTTACCCGTAGTGTGAAAAGCGACTTCTTCAGTCGGCTGTCCGGCATCTCTCGACCTCCTTCCTTTTACATGCCGAGTTTAATCACCATCCTCCTATTCTGTCTAACTTTTGTTTTGCTGAAGGTCTTTATACCACCTGATGTTGCTTGTGTTACAGTGTAAGATCTTCTCGGAATAAATAGGTCGCGTGTCTGATATGCCCCAAGTGATCATACTGTGATATAGTAACTGCGACCGCAACAACCAGCGACTCTAAGGCCTACTTATGCAGGCAACTCTTCATTGGAACCAAAGGCTAGATTCCTTCATTGAAGAACTCGGAAAGATTCCGCAGAAACAATGTGCATAGGGCAGACGGACTCCTCCATAGATCTGAACATCTTGATCGATCGTATGTGGTAGTTGCTCCTGGCGATGGTCTATCTGGAAGAACCCCTACGAAGCTTAGCTTCCAGCCAACACCCATCCTCCCAGCGATGGAGACTTAACCTCTTCTGGCAATGAAGGATGTGTTCGTGGAAAAATTGTAAAATTATTAACAAGTGGATCAGCGAGTGGGGCGTGGAAATCGTCCGGTGAACCGCGGTCTGGATGAACAGCCAATTCCATCAATCACAGCCTAATGCCAATTCCTGCCCTGAAGCTCCCAAGCCCAACGTGCGACACCATCTGCCGGTGGGGGATTCCACGCGTCGTAAAATCCGTTTCCCCACTCGTGGTTGACGGATGAAACAAGCCCGGGCCCTGCAGACTACAGGGGCATATATGCGATTATCGCCGTCATGACTTCTCTCCCTGCATGCGCTCAATCTTTCTCGCAAATGTGACCATCCCCTTCTTTGTTGGACTTCACTCTTTGGTCCCTTCCTTTCCACGGCTAGCAGGTCTTCCCCATGGAAGGAATCCGGGAGAGAGATCTTACGCCTGAGCGGATAGCCTACCTGGCGCAGACTCGGATTCCTGAGATCATTGCCTGTAATGTGATCCTTCTCGTCTTTGCGACATTCGGCCTGTTGGTTCGAATCTTCGTCCGTATTCGACACCTCACGGGCATCAATTTCGACGATGTGCTCTGCATCACCAGTTGGGTATGTTTGCCAATTTTCCAGTTTTAAGTGTCTGTTTGCTAGCCTTTGCTGAAACATTGCTGACTTGTGTAGGTCTTTACATTCGTTCTTTGCTTTACCTGCATGCTCAGTAAGTGCTTATCCGAGCGACAGGATACCTGACATAATGTACTAAGAGCCTACTTACCCAGTGACCAAATATGGATTTGGTAGGCATATTGGTATAATCGGCATGAGCGACCGGGGCATGTTCCTAAGGGTATAGGCTATCCCTGACACTTCGACTACCACGACAATGTATACTGACGGTGGAATGATTACAGCTCGACTTCGTGACCATGCTCGCCTACGTTCTCGCTCTCGGCTTTATCAAAATCTCCTTCTGCGTTCTTTACCTTTCGATCTTCCCGGGGAAGTGGTTTCGGATTGGTTGTTGGTGTGTGCTGGTCATCATCGTTGGGGAAACAATCTCAGAAGCTCTTGTCGTTATCTTTCAGTGTACGCCCGTTCACAAAGCGTGGGACGCTACCGGCTACGTCGAGGGACACTGTGTGAACATGACGGCCTTTTATTATGCGAACTTTGGGATCAAGCTCGCTAGTGACCTGGCTTTGTTTCTGATGCCGATGCCTAAGCTGGTGCGGTTGAAGATGACAGTGGGCAAGCGAGCGGGCTTGGTGATCATGTTCAGTCTGGGTCTTCTGTATGCGAACCCTTCCTCTACAATAAACCGGTGGACAAAACTAACTATCTCGGATGCTTAGTGTGTGTGTCACCAGTATTATCCGGGTCTCATATCTGAATCCATTCTCTGTTGACCATACCTGTAGGTCACATTGTCGCTGTTCAATACATGCTTGGAACTTACTAACATTCTATGTCTACAGGGTCATTAGTGAACGCTATGAATTGGTCATGTGTGGAAGTCGCCGTCGCCCTCTTCATTGCATGCATTCCCTCTTTCAAGTCACTCCTTAGTACCTGCTTTCCAGGACTCCACCGTCTTCTCGGTTTCTCCAGTAATGGCGACTCAGCTGGCCCGTCGAAGATATACGGCAGTTCTACTCGCCGGACGTACAATGCGCATAATAGCATCAAGCTGAAACCAGTGACAGAACACAGCCAGGCGGAAGTGGAAACGACTACTAATGACTCGCAGGAGCGCATCATGTATCCAGGCATTCAAGTTGTCACCCACGTGAGTGTCAACGAGAGTGTCTAAATGCGCGGATAATTAATTGGGTGGCAATTTTGTCTTTTGTGTTTTGTTCAGTACCTACAAACGGTCCGATCCTTATGATGAATTTCCTTTTTTTCCCCCATCAATTTCAACTTCCATGGTTTTCCTCCACTGTTTGTGATCTATCGGACTCCCCGATCAAGTGTACCAGTTTCGCAGTGGGGCCTCCGAGCATCTAGTGCCGACTTTCCTACTCTAATCCCACTATTCAAGCTCAGGGGAAAATCATTTGACAGTCGAGACACAACCGCCAAGAAATAGAACTCAGCCCGGTGGATACACCACAACCGCGAGATTGGCTAGACACTGACTCAGTGAGACTCTGGAGGAGTCACGATGCCCCCGTTAATCTACCCTAATCACGCTACTGCCACACCACTGCGACTCTAAAACCGTTATACTATCTGACTGGCCAACGTCTCCCGAGACCCACTACCTAAATCTGCAGAGGGACCGGCTCAACATCTAAACAGAGATCCTGCACCGAAACCTTATCAATGCGTGTCCATCAACCTCCGACAACGGTTGTATCCTACTCCGACCGTTGTCTGGTACACAGAACAAAAATAGCCCGGTGTACCTACCCCCGGTGACATCTATTCCTCGGTAGATGGGTGGATGTCTTTCCCGCCGATATTCTCCGTGTGTAACAATCTTGGAACCGAGTTTTCTTTTTTTCCCCTACGACTCATGACCCGGGAGCCTTTAGTAATATATGTCTCATGAACGAGGGTTCAAGCCGTGTCCTTGCCCCTGCCAAGGCGTGAAGCTTGGCCTAATCTAGCTTAAATTGTTCCCACTCGGACGCCCGTAGTACCAAATGATAAATAAAACCTTTGCCACCAGTAGGCGGGAATTGCTAGTCGGTGGTTGGTGGTCAAGATGCCGAGCTAATATCCGATTATTTGATCTGCCACCGAAGGTCCATGAGCTTTGGCCATGCCGGAATTAGACTTGAGATGATTTTCGGATCCGAGGGGTGTGTGGAAATGCTTAATATGCATAGATTAGTGACAGGTAATCATTCTAATATATGTAAATGAAGAGAGCGATCATGCCATATCCCCTTTATTCATATGATCCGAGGGGATTGAAGGCACAGTTAATAACTGTCATTCCCGTCGTCCGCTTGCGAAGCACGCGGGGATCGAGAATATTCTCGTGGAGAGATGTCGTACCATCGCGGGACAGATCGCTTTCTCCATCATGATCGACAGAGAAACGGCTTTTATTTTTGAGTGAGTGTACGCGCAATGGCGACGTGTGTGGATTTATGATTTGCCGGGTTGGAGGAGCTTCTATGCTTATCTTCAGATGGATGGGCCCGAGATGTCTCTCGATACTCCCTCATATGGCAACTGATGTGGTTATTTAAGCGCAATGAGAGAAGACTGGTACGATGCAGATATGGAAACTTTGTCACTTTTGTATGTGAAACAATGTGCTGAGTGGTGAGCATAGTGGGAAGATGAACTCCAGTAACAAATTGTGAGCATAGACAATGTCATTTGACAGTCGCACTTCCATGTTAATAGTTCTTGTAAACCAACTTAACATACATCAGCCTGAAACTCTCTAGCTTGAGGGCTGAATATAAATGGGTCTTCATCTATACTTGGAATTATAGGATCTACATAGAAGATTGAAATTGCTTAATCAACTCAAGCTTCAATGTAAACCGAACTTTTCACGATACTTACACAAAATTCAAGACTTGAGACATGAGCTAGGAATGCTGGCTTTTTGTGATTCCTAAGAAGGGATCGCAACTAGTATTTGTAATGGAAGTCATTTACTATATGATGTACCGAGATATATTCTTTATCGTCCGGTAAAGTGGATAGCAATGGATGAATGTTTATCTGAGATGTAGCATGTGTTAGACCATATCGTGGCATTTTGGCAAACATTGAAAGTACAGATTAGTCAACTAAAAGCAATGGTCTTTTGTTTAGTGATTTGGCATCCCTTAAATTCTCTTGCAGTCAGCGTTGACCAGTTGGCCGCGCGAGATGGTCTCCCGGACGCGGTGGGCCGGTGGGCGTCCCCCACGAATCACTTTCGGACCACAGAACGTTTGCACGCAGGATGGCCGGCCACGCTACGCCGGAGGACCTGCAGGGCAGGATCGTCTAACCGGCCGAGGCTCACGGCGAGTGTGGTTTTGCGCTACGATGTGATTAAGTAGGTACTGGACTTTCTTTTCTAGGCTTGAGACCTTTTCATTCGAAAATGAGTGGCGGTGTGTCAATGGGTTGATCTATTCACCTAACTACTATTGAGATATTAAGGCATAATCATCCGCCTCCCAGCTATGCTTGGCCCTTGGACTGGAATAACTATAGCTAGACATTACTGCTTACCCCCCCTTCATGTGGACCAATGACCAAGTGATTGCCAGAAGATAATGATAGATTATGAGCCTAATACCGAGTCTAAATGGAACTGCGCCTGGCAGTAGTATCTATCTCATGGCTAGGTTTTAACATGGTTTCAGGTAAGGACTGAGCAGGGGTACTGAACCAGCGCTTGAGCCCCGCCATACTCCTCTTTGCAGACATCTCAACTTCGATTCCCTGATCCTCGATATCCTTCATGCACTGTTGCGCTTGTTCTTCTATTTCATGCATGTGCCTT